GGGTTAAGTATGAAGTATGAAGTTATGTTCCTGAACGAACCGAGCAGTCTTCGTTTGAATATGTTATTAACTCTGCTTAAATTGTCATGCAATAAAAAATAGAGGTGGCAAAACTGGAAAATTTTGGGACCCGGACCCGGACCCAGTCTGACTGGCACATTTCTGGAACCGGTCAGACCCGGTCTAGGTCAGCGTTGGAACCGGATGGACCCGTTCCCGAAATTCATTATGAAAATTGTGTACAGTTGTAGGTATAGCTAGAAGAAAAAGGTTTCTTTCCAATTGGGCATACTTATGTTGCAAAGTAAAAGACTCATGTCATGGTCATTTCACTTCGCTTCACAGTTTATATTTAAGAACCAGATTCAGGTCATATTTAAGAATATAAGAAGTAAGTAGACCAATGAATTTCATGCTAACCTAAGCCACTTTTACTACAGCTGCTAAAAATGATGTGAACTGGGGATCCATGGAGCAGTGCCTTCACCAGAGTCAGAACCTAACACCAACATGGCACAAGATAACCATACTGATACATACCTTTTCTTATATTCTTGGTAAAAGATATTCGTTTTTAGAATTAAATTCATTAGTCCTTACAAATATTATCAACTATCCAAGGCCCCAAACGAGAAAACATTCAAAATCAAAACAGAAACATCAAAACTGTGTGAGGTCCGCCAGAAATGTCGACACGATAGCAATGCACAATGCAAGGACAAAACAGGCGTTAAATCACTGCAAAATTGTGTTGGGGTAAAAGTACTGCAAAATCGTAATGGCAACAAACTTTTCAGTAGGTACTGCAAGATTGCGATCATGACTTAAGTGCCAATTTATTAACACATAAAACAAACTACATTTTGTTGTTATATAGTACCTACACATAGAATAAATACCTACCAAGGGTTCTGAGACTTACCTGATTTCTTCCCGAACGTGTTTCAGAATTGTAACCTTTATGCAGTAGATTAGCGTGTGTAAGGCATGGCATATATGACGCTCAAATGCGCCATTTTCACATCAACACGGAATCATTGGCCTTGGAGAAGGGCATTGGTATTGACTCAGTTTTTTTTTGCCAGCTGCTGCCGTATGATGGCGCTAGTAGAGCTCTATATGTATAATACGCTCTGCTAGCGCCACCATGCGGCGCCAGTTGGCTAAAAATCTTATCAATACTACGGTTTCTGGAGAATGCCTTGGATTCATTTTTAGCTTTATCATTTATGGATTTATGCGAGGGCATGTTGGTTTTATGTGTTGTCTTCTGGCCGTGATAGAAATCATTTCAAAGCTGTTTGAGCTATGAAATGCATTTGAATATCAAACATGAACTCTGATTTCCGGTGGGCATAGTGACTTTGGTATGTCAATGTCTTTGAAAAGGCAGGTGAGAATGCTACTGGGTCAGCCTTGCTTCAATTGGATTTGTGTCCATTTATAAATGGATTTCAGTCATACCTACTTACCTACATATGTTATTGATATTTGATTTCTACAGCTCAAAATATTGCTAGGTATTGTACAGCAAACTGAATGGAAGTGATCCGTACAAACATTTGGTGAAATGTTTTCTGGATTGCTAGCACTTAGAACTTGTTTATTCTGTTGTAGGTGAAAGATAAGAAATTGAAGCAAGACTGACCAGTATGCTATAGAATAGGTAGCCCAATCTTCAGGAATATTAAAATTCAAAAGTGGAATTGGGACTTATGATTATGAACTGGAAACTGCATCAACTATGACTATGTTTGCCAAAGCATAAAAGATATTAATATTTACCATAAAGCACAGGGAAATGAAAGGACCCGGTTGGACCCGGTCTAATATTTTGGGGGGACCCGGTCTGGACCCATCCGGGTCCAGACCGGTTCCATAGACCGGGTCCCCGGGTCCACATTTTGCCACCTCTAATAAAAAACACACACTCACTTTGGAAATTTCCTCTTTAGTGTAATTTTGTCATACGCCCACGCACTCCTCTGGCCTGCTCCGTTTCTGTTATTTTGTGCTTGTATGATGCCACGTTTCAGACCCTTCTCAGACATATGACGGATTTACATACCCTCTTTTTCTCGCAGCTTGTTCGTTTAGCTGAAGGAAGCCCTGCTAAATTACACCGAAGTTCAAAACTTGTGAAGTGTTTTTAAAAGTTATCACGGTCTATTTTTTACTCGTTTGTCGACGGTCCGGTATCTCCTCCATTTTCCATTAATGTCGGTGAATTGGAAAAGTTTGGGAGCGGTCCAGCCGGCGCGGCGGCTCCCCGACTGTCCCACTGATGGGGCTTTGAGCGGCTCCCTCGGCCCAGAGGCGCCGGTGAGGTCGTCATTGGCGCAGTTCAACTCCTCTACCTCGCCACCAGAGAATGTCACCACCTCAACACAGACATTTTCTGAACGCTGTTCACATCTCTCAGTGCTAGTGGAGTTCGCAACTCCCGGATTCAATTGTTTATTGATCCGTCTTTTATTTCTCAGCAACATGCTTTTGAGGAAATGACTATGGTGCATTAAGGCTGAAGTGCTTGGCATGCAAAGTGGGTGATTAATTCCTCAATCAATCGTCATCACTTCGAACATTTGTCGAAGTGACGTGAACAAACGAGTCTGGTTGTTGGCGATGCATGCTAATGATTCAGAGGGAGCTTCTCCGACGTTATTTAAACGAACGAGCAAAATGTGCTTACAAAGTCAATTATTTGCCATACGACAATGTTTCGCTCATTGACCTATAATAAGTACTTATTATAGGTCAGTGGTTTCGCATAGTGACTGGTTCAGTCTCTCTCTTTTTGCACCTCATAGATTGCATACCAAACAACAGCCACGAAGCTCTGACTTATGAACCGAGCCGATGACCACAGTAGTCCGGGCGCCCTCCCCCCCCCCCGCCCCTTTATGAACTGGCGCCTGACCCTGGCGGTGTATCACCGACGCTGCCAGAGCGCTGCCAGCACACGTGGTAATTTTGGTTTCCATGGAGACATCAACAAGTCTATTGCTTAAACACTACCAAAGTATGATGTCAGCTCGCAGAATGCGCTGGTAGCGGCTGGCAGCGCGGCAGTGAAACACCTCCCCAGGCTCAGGACTAGCGAGACTGGTACCCCGCGGCTTTGCTCGAGTCCAGACAGCTCAGTAATAGTAGATTCGTTTTTGATTCGTGACATTTCTGTCTTTAATTGAAATTTTATTCATGTATCCTTATCACCCCTTCGACCGATATGATAGGTCTTGCGACATGCGTGATGACTTAGCCGGCGTCAGGCGCGGTGAACTGGGCCCTTCACTTCGCCGAACTGAATGCAACAGTCCGCCCACTGTGACCCGGCCTGAGACAGTACTAACTCGCTTAATGGTTGATAAGTTAACGCCGCCCCTGAATCCGCCCACCCGTCAACAGCTTATCTGGCGTCTCGCCCACTCCCAGCCCGTCCCAGCTTGCTTCATATATTCCCGTCTGTGTTTAATGTCACTTCTCCGCGTCTTGTTGCTCTCGTGCTTCAGCGGACTATTTCCGAGTGTCCGGGAATTCCTGGACTCGAGTGGGCGCCGGATGTACACCAGACGTCCTCGGGATGGTGCTTGACCGTCCACTTGTGAGCAAAGTACTGTGTCGTAAGTGGGAACTGTGTCGCTTTAACTCCGCTTTAGGAGTGGTGTTGGAAACAGGGGGACTTTGCCGGCCGCTAAGCATCAGTCGCTTGGATAGAGAAACTGATGTAAAGGTTTACTGTGGATTGTTTTAACTGTCAAATACAATTAGAATTTGTCAACAGATGGTAAGAAAAGAAGTCCTAATGACTCCATTCCTCCACCTTTCGTAGTTCTTTTCATAAGTTATTTGAGGACATGCATTTCAGAAATGGTATCCGGTGCCGAACTGTTACCCTTTTCGTCGCTATTTTGTCCTGGGCTATTCGCAACCTTGTCTGGTGAGTCGCTAGGCTCCGACGCTTCATAAGAACTGACGGCCCTGGGAAAGACGGCATTAATGATGCACAGACTTGAAGCCGAAAGCTTGTGTTGCTTGAAAGAAGTCACAGACCTTCGAACCATAGCCATCCTGTGCCGGCTCGAATGCAAGCACAAGCGGTAATTACCATCATACTCTTTCGTCTTTTATTTTGTTGTGGTCGGTGTGTTGATATTCTTAAATTTCCCGTTGCTTACAGCTTCCGTTCACTAACCGTTTCCTTTATTTTCGTCACAGCGGCTGCGTCTCTTTACACAGTACTGCTATCCCCACTCAGGCAGCTAATTCTCATTGGTCACAGCAGTTGACCTAAAAAGGCCGCCGGCAAAAACTGCGTCGATACCGCTTCCCACTGGATGGGATGGGAGGGCTGTTGGCACGGGCGTATCTTCCCCATCACTCTACCCCTCCCTGGCCTCTCTCGCTCGCCCCAGGCGTCAACGCTGACCCCGGGGGCGTTCTGTCTCACCGGATAAGGACGGTGTCGTCTGTTGATCCAGCGCACCCCGCTGGTAGCTGTTGGCACAATGTGACCGATCAGTACCTACTCGCGTGCCGCTTCACCACGTGTGGCACGCGTGGCAGTATGGTGGCAGGCCCGGCTCGCGTGGACCGAGTGTGTGAACGTGACGCCATCTGTCACTGGTCTTACTGACATTGCGGAATTTGAAAGTCGCAGTTATTGATGAGGCTTCCTTATAGCTTATTAACTTCTTGCAATGTATTCGTTTTTGGTCGTGACCAAAGAGCGTAACTAAAGTGGAACCCAACCGGCAGCATGAACTCCTCTTGCTCCTTCTCTCATTCTCTCTCTCCTCACTCTCTCTCTCTCTCTCTCTCTCTCTCTCTCTCTCTCTCTCTCTCTCTCTCTCTCTCTCTCTCTCTCTCTCTCTCTCTCTCTCTCTCTCTCCTCTCTATCCCAGTAACCACTGCTGCTATGCCCAGATTTCCCAGTCGACTTTTTATGCATCCCACCATTTTGCACTGCTGAACGCGCCTTTCCATTTCTCTTCTCGCAGGTATCAAGAACGGCGAGACCACCAAGGACGGCATGTTCACGCTCACTGAAGTCGAGTGTCTGGGCGCCTGTGTGAACGCACCAATGGTTCAGATCAACGACCACTACTACGTGAGTACCGAGCCGTGCCGAGCGACCAGCCGTGGGGAGTCGGGGAGTGACCGCTCGGCCGCACACGCGTGGCTCTCCCACCGAGCGAGTGGGCGGCGCTTGGCTGTGACGCTGCCGCCAGTGACAGTTGGTTGTGATTGCCGTTTATATTTATTATTTCTTTTTTTTTGTGTGTGGCAGTTATGTTATTCGCATCATTGCCACTACTGTTGGAAATCGTGCATTGCATCGTCATTCGTCAGTCCCTCCGCAGTCCGCAGCCTTTTCCAACGGCCTGGAGTGGTAGACTGTACCGCAGTACAGCTGGGCGCTGCGGCACAGCCTACCCAGTCGGGCGGTTTTGGTTCCGAGCCTGGCCGGCAGGTGGCAGCTGAGTCGCAGAGATAACGCCCTTGCCGCGTATCGTCAGCTTTCAGTTGACTCTGACCAGCTCTCATTAGCTAAAGCAAACATGATGACGCTGTGCCTGATTAGCTCACTGTAAGAGTTGTGTGTACGGACAGGCTCGGACAGACGTGTCGGACAGGGCCACGGGTTTACAATGAACATCCCGACGCAATACTTATTGCATAGGTGCGTTGGCGAACCAGTTGCCTACTGATTCATTTACTTCCCACAAATTCCCTGTTGTCGTGTGATTTGATCAATTCATATCTTTGTGGAATCTAAAGTTAGTTCCCTCTTCGGCTAATTTATGTAATTTTCCAACTTGCTACAACCGCAATGCTTTTATTTACCTTCCAGTCGCGCTGCTTGATTTTGGTACCACTGACTGAAAAAAAAACAAGTGGCAGCCTAATTTGTATGCTGGGAAAAAAAAACAACGAACAGTTCCTTACGCTTTGAACATCCTTTCCCCATAATTTAGAAGTCTTTACAATAAGACATCTCTGAGTTCTTTTTCATCAGATTGCCTCCAACTTTCGGATAGTTTGAGACAGCTTTTCATCATTTTTACTCTTCAGTCGACACTAATCGGCCGCCGGCCAAATCGTTATGATGGCCGGGGCGCCGACGGCGACGGTCGTCGGCCATAACTACTCTGGAGATAACCAGTTGAGCTTGGGTCAGCCGGCAGAGTCGTAGATATCTCATACTGTCCTAGTTATCGAACTGATGAGCTCTGACCGCACAAAGCTGTTGGTGCTGGCGTTAATCCTGCTGTGGCTGAAATCGGAGGCCGTTGGACTGACTTTTAGCTGCGAGTGGACCAATCAGTACTAGGCGGACCACCGACAGTCTTAGACCGTTGGACCGACGGTGAGTGGTCGGACCATCGGTCAGCGGTCTGCCGACCGATCGCGGTCCGACTGAACCACTATTGGATTCCGATAAGCCGCCTGGATGGCTTCATTTCCGCTTGGTGCGCCCGTGATCGGCGAGGGACGGTGGCTGCCAGCCTTCTACTCGGCAAGCGAGAACCTCTAGAGCCGGCGGCGACGGCGGGCAGGTCAGCGCACGGGCGCACAAGGGGAAAGGGGGCAGGTCGCAACGGCCATAACCAACTTGGGAACGGATAAGGTAGACTACCTCTGGCGGATGAGGGGGGAGACGGCAAAGCACCTTTGTCAAGAAGCTGGTAAGAGGGGAGAGAACGCCAGCTCTCTCCACCGGGACAGAGTGGCAGGTCGCCTTGGCCGGTGTGAGGGAGTGGGAGAGAGCACAGGCCTCCATCGGGATAGCGTGCTGGTGAATTGGCTCTGATTGACTCCTCCTATGGAGGCGGCGGAGGCGGAGGCGCGCCGTGAGGAGAGGAACGCTCTGTTGCCGCCGCAGCCTTGGAGCAGCGGGCACAGAGTGGGAGGTGACTCATTGACATCATCAGACGCGTTGACCGCGCCCAGTGAGGTCAGCCAGACTGCACGGAACATGGCCAGTCACTAGGCTGACGCTGGCATTCTCTAATGCTGATCGTCTTACATAATGCACCGGGCATTGCATGCCATTTCGTAAGTAACCTTTGAGAAGTTGAAAAGGCCACTTCAGACATTTGACACTTGAACAAAGATTGATGATGTTTCGTATTAGCTATTTCGGTTTCCATTGAACTTGAATCCCTTTGATCCCTTTTCGGAGTATCCAGTTTCAATGGAGAACATTATCAAGGCAAGCCGTTACAAATATGTTCTCAGTAGCGAATTCATTTGGTATCCAGTCACAGAGTGACTAAATGCCAAAATTATCTGCTCACAGAGTGGTGCGTTCATGATATGACGATGCTGAGATGAAATAAGGTAATTTGTGATGGATGATTTAAAAGATGAGCACTTGGCCACATTTCATAAACCTACACACAGTGCAACTGCAGTAACTATGATGATGACATTCCCTTGGTCCTGCCTGCTACATACAGTCTCACACAATCACGTTGTTATCGCAGTCGCCCGTCGCTAACGTCTCTGCCAGCTCCGGGTCATCCATCTCTGCAGCGATGGCGGAGAGCCGATATTACGGCACGCCTGAATACGGGTCATTACTGGATACTCCCTCACTTGCTGCCGTACAAAGTACCTATGCTGCGTGCGGGCGTGTATATCTCTGCCAGTTTTGGGTTGCTTGACGGTCGGTTAGGGGAGATATTCGCAACTCAACCGGGCGCACGCTCACAGGGCTGCAAATTGCTTCCAGCAGTCAAACTTAGGTGGGATACCTATGCAATGTAGCCTGTAGGTGAGCCCGAGCATTGTCCCTCAGCGTTGGATGAAGCGTCGCTTCGCTTGGTTGGAACGTTCATTTTCCTTGGAAGGAGGAAAAAAAATTCTCCTTCTCTCCCGGATCTACCCGTATCGTCCAGTACCAGTCGGGGAGGGTATCCGGTGCAGGGCTGGTGGTAGCACCGAGCTCCCAATGTGAGTACACAGCGCATCACTGCGTGATCGATACGACAGGCCAACTATCGACTGATGAATGACGCATGTACAGGCCACGTCGTCATGGCTAAAGATGCCGAGTGCGGGCCTTTTACATCCATCACTGTGCCATTCGATAGATTGACGCATGTCTATCCATCCCTTCGTCTAATATGCACTGGCTAATGCACTGATGTCATGTCATGAAGGAGTGCAAATGCACCGCTGCATCAAGCGAACCGAAGAGCTATTGCGAAAAGACCTATCGTCGAATATCTTTGTAAGCTTTCTGGATCAGTAGAAACGACCTACCACAGTGTGCTGAGGATAGCCCCAGACATAATTCGTCTTCTTTACTGTCACCGCAGACATTTACACCATTCACCTCGGCTCATGGGGCGTGCTGATGCCTCCGATCATGTGCTATGCTCCTGGCCACACGAAAAGCAACGATGAGCGTGTCCATTATTTTATCGTTTGCGCTGCGGTGACGCTGCTTTCTTGTCATGTCAGCGGTATGGTGCGACATTAATGGACGGTGTCGATAGATCACTAGCCATGCGGGGGGGGGGGGGGGGTCACGCAACCACAGTGGCGTCACATGGTCTGTGCTGTCTAAAGCTCTGGTGGATTTAAAGTCGACTCACCCGGGCAACCTCCCCCCCCCCCCCCACACACACACATTAGATTGCTTCCATGTTTTTTTTTTCAATCTAGCTGAGAATAAGTGTGTTGTGTGCTCACTCTTTATAATGTGTCTCAGCTCTGCCTTCTATTGAATGTATGCGTACTCTTCAATGCTTTATCCACGGAGCACATGCGTCCATACGCTGGGACTAGCGTATATAGGACTTGCTCCGGCGGTGACTACGCCGCTTTTACTGTTGGACACAAATTGATCTCAGCAGTCGGCGTGCCGGAAGGCTCCAATAAACAAACAATGTACCGCTCTGACATAGGGAGGTGGTCCGATCGATTGTCCACTGAGCGGTATGCTATGTCTGAACGGATTCTCACGGTCCGGGGCACCATGAACGACTGCTGATTATTGAATGGGCGGCGAGCGACGCAGATCGTGACATATTGCTATTGGCTGCCTCTGACGTGACTGGTGTGCTGTGCTACAGGTCAGGACGGGACGCGGCTCGTAGGCTTACAAAAGTCTCTGGCGTCACTATTGTACCTTCTTTGCGGTGGGTCATTTGCGGGACAGGAAGCACAGCACCGGACATGCGGGTGACCAGCTTTTGTCTCTTTGTGTGGCTGGTATATTGTACGGCTGGCCACTGGTAGGCCAGAGCACTGACCATAATAAATTAGGACAGAACAAGACAGGTGACCAGACGGTTTTTGTTCCTGGCGTGACCTCCTCTGTTATAGCACGCCTGCGGCGCGCCTTGGTGTGAATGACTGGCTTTCGGCGTGATGCAATAAACCAAATTACATTTCGGATGGAGTGAGGTCCGTCACGAAAAGAAGTGTGGCGGGCTTTTCAGCTGATGGTACTTTCGTAATGCATAATATAGTAGCTTTCGTTCCTCGCTGTGGTCTCGAACAGTGAACTAACAATTGGGTGTGGTGGGAGTAACGACCCTGATGGCAGCAGTGACACATAATGTGGCGTCGGTTCTGTGACACGGATGGTGATGATATCCTGACACGGATAGTACACGCACAGCGACACTGTCGTGCATTCTTCTTCCCATATCAATATGCCGTTTTCATACTGAGCTCAGAAACATGGAGCGACTTTCCGAAGTATCATGCATATCGCTGAACTAGCGCTATCGCCAGGCGGAAGGCAGCTTTTGCCAGAAAAACCAGCCTGTTCAGGCTCCACCTGCTCTGCTGGGAACCCGCCTCAGATTCTGCGCTGTATTAACGCTACATTAGCAAGTACAAAGTTGAACACTTGTGCAGCAAGTTCAGTTAGTTTTGCCGTCACCGGACGTGGAAAAATAGCAGCTGCGATACGTTCGTGAACTGGCTGTAAGCAGCTCGGCGCCAAGGTCGGCTCAGTGGCTGTCATGAAACTCTATCACTCCCTCTATGTCCCTCCGTACCTGTCCGACTGTACGGCTCCTGTCCGGGCGCGTTGTTTCTTTTTCAGGGCCGCGAGATTTCAGGTTGAGCTCTCCATTTGTACCGCTT